GGCGTTTGCTAAGACTCGAACATCTCTCAATTTATTTGCTCTTTCGCTGAGCAACTTGAACTTTTGTTGACATTTTTTGACGTGTAACAAAATATTGTTCTACATTGATAGTTTTTTCGAAAATAGATATTTCGGTCTTCACTTCAGCAAAGTGATAACAATGTGCTCCTTGTAGTGATCGATTTATGATGTTCAATTTTAAAACAATTTCTAATTGGTTCCATTACTAATTTTGTTATATGTTCCTTGGTTTTTAACCAGTCAACCACTTAAATTAAACAATTTTTCTATTTTCAAAGAAATGGAGTAATAAGAGCGCAACTGATTGAGAGTTATGCAATTCATTCGTTGTTTTAATGGTCACCATATTTTTCTTATGGTTTGCATGCAATAATAAAATTGGCACTATTTCCATAAATTCTTGTATGTTGTACAGTTCAATAGCGTATTTTTGTTCTTTCCACAAACTAATTTCCGCGTCCACTCCTCAATTCACCGTCTTAATGTTGTCGGAAACTATTTCTAACATTCTGCCCTTTGAAAATTGGTTTGGAAATTTGAACACTCCGTAATACTACAGGTTTCACTTCGAAACAAAAAGTAATTAACCTTTAACTCCTCACCCTTACTTGAAATTTTTGAAAATTACTTGAAATTTTTGAAATCTCACTCTGAAAAAAATTTAAAAATTTTAAATAATTTCCATTGAATTTTTAAATTGAAAGGATTTGCTGATGGGATGTCGTGTGAGCACATTTTCGAGGTCAAGCATTTAATTTGTAGCACGATTCGTGCAATTTTCGGCCAAAAAACAAAATAAGCGTCTGCTGGCTTGTTCTGCAGCTGCTCTCACTCTCACATCAGCCAATTTCCAAATTTATAGATACTCATATGAATTGGCCAAATTATTGGAGCTGTCAGTTTATCCAATACTATTTTTTTTGCAAGCAAATGTAAGCAATTAATCTTTCTAATCGTCTAATTTTTTGGAAGCGACATTTACTCAGCAGCAATAATCCGCTGCAATCTTTCGACAAACTCTAAATCTTTTGTCAGGTTTATAAAGATCCGTTTGTATATGTTATACACAAAGAAAAAACACAGTTACGTCCGTTTCCGAAAAAATAACGGTTTCCGGAATCAATTATCACAGGATCCACTTTATTTTCCGCATTATGAGCCTTTGATCCAATAATTTATTTGTTTTTAATTTCCCGATTGAATTCAGTTTATTCGCATTTTTATGAAAACGTGATGATATAAGAATACGACAAAGATAAAACAACTGAAATTTGAACAGGACAATCCCGAAATCAGTATTTTTTAAGAGATTTTGAATAATTTTCGAATTTTGATATTACTTTTTGGATGCGATAATGAACGGCGCACGTAGTTGTTTTGCGCTGATTCGATTCTGTTAGCAAATTATTTTCCGAAATGAACTATAACATCTGTGCGTGCGACATTTTTTTCATTTCCAGACGACAGTCGACAAGGTGCAAATTAATCAATAAGAAGGCGACATCTGGACTAATGCTCGTTTGTTGACTGCACTTGTTGTCGGACGCATCCTGAAATGCCGAACAATAGTGAGTATTTTGAAGTCCATAAAGTGGATGTATGAATCGACACAATATACGTTTATCACCCACACAAACTACTCATTAAAAGTGTGAAACTTTCTATTATTGATAAAATCAGAAATGATGTAATTGTACTATTCGCGGGAAAATATGAGATTATTATTTAATAGTATTTGTGTTTTAATGCAGAAGTGTTTCGAGATGCCTGGGATTTATTCGTCATTTGTTACCAAATCCTCTTCGACCTTTTTCTTTATTTTCTTGGAATTATAAATATGACATTCAAATAATGAAAAATAATGATTTCTCTTAACAATCGTAGTGGTCGGCTAATCTTCAAACCACCAATTGGTTTGGAAACTTTCAATTTCCGTTTTACACCGGGCGGTAAAATTTTAAAACCGGTTAATCAAATAAACGTTTTTCTTAAGTGTCTATTAAACGTATTGCATCGATTTTTTGCCGTTTTTGACTTTCGACCAACCGCGAAGATTGTTCCCAACAATTGGTTTACATGGGAAATTTTTTTGAGTTTTCAAAGTTGACTTTTGGTTGAAGCTGTTACAAATAGATTATTAATATGCTGCATAAACACTTCTATTAAAAATTCAGTGTGCACCCCGGCTTTGCATTTTTTATTTTCATTTTTCGATTTTTTGAACAATTTGACACCGACTTGATAGAAAATTTGGAACATTTTTTAAGATTTCGCTCGAGGAAATTTTTCTTCTGGAAAAAATATTGTTTTGCAGATAGGAATGATCTGCTTCGTCGAATTTAATTATCAATTTTAATTATGTTTATTAATTGGTGTTATTCAGCACTTCTTCTAAAAAATAAATTTAAAAGCGTTTCAAACAAATTTTAATAAGCATTATTTTTTTTTAGAAATATAGACAGTTTTGAGCTCATTAAAAATGCCATAGAATTTTCAAAAAAAATTGATGGAATTGCGTTTGAGAGCAAGGAAAAGTCTATTTCGTTTTAATTCGAAACTTGATTTATTGTAAATGAAATCGAGACGATTTTTCACATTGAAAATTTATTCCATTTTTCATGGTTTTTTTAATTGAAGAAGCTGTACCGCAAGCATAGAATCTTTGGTTTCTTCTAAGGATTTGCACATAATTTACTGTGAAATATGGTTTCATAGAAATGTAAAGTAGAATACAATCGTGGAGTTGTGTGTTGTTTAGTTTCGACTTTCCTTTTTTCTATATATAATCTCTATTATTTCTCACGGCTTTCGAAAGCAAACGATATTAGCTATTATAAAATTTAAATAATTTATTAAGAATTTTAAAACATTATAAGAAATTGTAAATTTAATAATATTTGGTAGAGCTTATTGAGGTAAACTTTTGAAAAATCTTATTAGAAATTTGTAAAGAAAGTTAAGAAAATTCTAAAGCATCCTAATGTATTTTTAAATTTTATAATGTTAAAAATACAAAATCCAAACGAATCGTCTTAAGGCCACTCGAATATCTAAATATATTATTTATATAAAGTTTTGAAACGCCCACAATATTACAGTTTTTTTCAAATAAATTTTTCTAGGTTTTTCATTTTTTATAATTGGCTTATAGCCCATCGGAATGATAATAAACAATGAGCACTTTCATTCCAAATTTTTGTCTTCTTAGTCGCGACAGCACCAAGTAGGTTCTGCAAAACATTATCTACCTGTCGTTTTTCGACTTCTATGTGATTTTATTTTTCTTATTTTTCTTTATCTTCAGAAACTGAAATATTCGTTGTACTATAGAATTGCACTTTTATCGCCGAAGCAAAACTCCGCAAGAATGTGTTATGTTCCGTGACGCATGCTATCTAAATTCCAAGAATTCTGGCTGATTACAAGTCCTAATCAAGATTCTTCTTTGTTCTTTCAATTTCTGAATTCAATGCGAATAATTTGAGCATTTGAATATTTACGACAGCAAAGTTTTCTTTTTTTGTTGTACATATCCACTTATGAACAATCCACTCCATTTATTTCTATTTCAATTCCGCGAAAGCCAAATTCAAGATTGATTAAAGGGGGTTAATAAATCAGTATACGCCGAAATTGGAATTTGGTTTTTCTTGCAGTCAATTTTATTTATTTCCAAGCAGAGTCCATTTTCAAATATATTTTTTTATCAATTTCCGATGAGAGGCCATGGAATAAGCCAAATTTTGAGAATTTGGCTTTTTTTTGAAATGCAGTTGTCGCTCGCATCCTTTTTATAAAAACGTCAAATTGAATTTATAATTGTTAATAATATTTTTTCAATTAACTTTTTCGCAATATCCAATATGTCTCAGAAATGAAGAAGTGAGGCTTTACATTTACATATGAATATTCTCCCATTAATATATCAGTATTCGAGTGAATGATTCTAACGCCCGTTTCCCTGACATTCCGTTCAATTTAATTATTCTCGCGTCAATTCCAGAGAGGCTACCCGCCTCTTTCCATTTTTGTTCTATACTCTTGTGGGTGTGTGTCTGTGTGTGTATGCGCGCGCGAGCGTGCATGTGCATTTAAGTACGAATAAAAAATTAAGAGTGCTCTTTCAAGAGCAGGTTTTCAAGATTTACGAGCTCGTAAAATATTAATGCGGTATTTATCGGTAAACTGAAATTTTTCAAAAAAAAATGTTCATCGTGAAAGCCGAAAAAAATTTTTCGTTTATTTCTGATTTTGGGATTTATTCAGAAAAACGCATTTCTCGGATTGCATTTGCACTTGGAGTTCTTTGTTCGAACATGTTGTGGTCAATGCTTTTTTTTTCTTCTCGACCCATTTCTTGAAATCTTTCATGTATTCGGAAAGCTGTTTTTCTGTTGCCCTCGCTGTCCAGCCTATCGACTACATACTGAATTTCTACACTAACTATGTTGGAATTCTGTAGAAAAGCGTAACAGCGGTCGTCGTGGAAGTCGTCGGGATCCATTTTTCTTCCGCTTCTTTTCTTTTCTCGTCGCTTTTTTTGCGTCTTTCTTTGTTCTGTTCTGAAGATGGTCCGCCCAGTCTTGGCAAGAAGCGCACAAAAAGACACATAGAAGATATTCACAAAGTGGCTGTTTTAGGCTAGAGCATGCAGCTGAATCGCCTGCTTCCCTTCTCTCACTCTGTCTGAGTTCCTCCTCCTATGTACCGGCATTTCTCTCGAAACTACGTCGGCTGCAATATTTCTCTAGTCAGCTCTAGAGAAATTTCGGCCGGCCAAACTATGCTCTCGGAGTTTTGAGCGTCTTCTTTTTTCTGCCTCCCACTTCTTTTTCTTCTTATACTTCTTTTTTCCTTGTCGTTTTTTTCCGTGTCCTCGTCATTCCCTCGAAATTGTTGTTCGCGTTTTTCTTCTAAGTTGACACCTTCTTGTAAATCATTCATTTTTTTTTGAGTGTCTCCCAATACTCGTGCCAATTATGATGATTGCCCCACCCATCTCAATGGTCCTATATCACGAACTACCAACGGTCAAAACCAAAAGTAAGTTAGAACCTGTGTGCACTTCCCTAATTATACGAATATGTAATTATATGCATGCAGTAATATACCTCCTCTACCCTAGAATTTCCGAAATTGAAAGGGCGGCTTCTCCTGCGATAGATGTATGAATAAGACGTAAATAGCGAGATTCTAATTGTGAATACAATTTCCAAGTCCTGCAGTACACAAATGCAATCAAGGCTATTATGTGTTTTTGCATTAACATTTTTGCAGAATTGTGTTTTATGCGGAAAAGGTATTATTATAGCTTGAAACTACCTGATTAGATAGCGGTATGTGTAAATACTAGCTCATTACCACACATATCTTAGATTGTTTTGTTATTTAGCAAAGAAAAAATATTTGGAAAAGAGGAAAACAATGATATATGTATCTACTTTGATCAGGAGACCGTGAATTTTTCCTTCCTCTTAATTCAATTCGTTTCCCACTGGGATTTTGGAGGAAAATGAGTAAAAAAGTACTCCCGAAAAATGTGACTACATTTTCATTTTATTGAATTGTTAAAGGTGCATCATATTTCATTGTTTTCTAGACTAATTTAATCCACCAAGTCGGACTGAAAAAATGTATCGGACACTAAGCAATGTGATGAAATTAGAAAATTAAAAAAAAAATACGCGAATCAGTGATTTCAATTTAAATTTTCAGAGCGCGAAAAAATTCCCGAGGGAACACTATGCGTGGTCTGCGGCGACCTTGCAAGCGGCATTCATTATTCAGTGGCCAGTTGTAACGGCTGCAAAACGTTCTTCCGGCGTGCTCTTGTGGTAAGTCGGCGACTTCTTTTCATTTTGCACTGCAAATCCCGTTTTGTTCTGAAACTCAACCAATACAAACCAATTGAATTAGGCACGAAAATTTAATTAGAAATCAGACCCACGTTCATTTACGCAATTTTATGTTGATTTATATTGGGCGGGTGAGCTGGGGGGGGGATAATTAAATCACCGTCTGCAACATATGTGACCCCTTTTTATTATGTTATTCAATTAGCACACTTGAATTATTATCAAAATTGCTCGAAAACAAGTCAAAAGTGCGTGAGCAAAAGGAAACATGAAAATGAATTAAAAATGTCACGTATTTTTCCCAAAACAATATTTGTCAGAAGCCGTTTATGACGTTAATTTTATGAAAATTATTCAACTGGCACAAGATTAGCAAGTACCAAACGAGGCTTATTTGGAAATGAATTCCGCGGCTTAGAATAATCATTTAAACCAAAAATAAGCTTTTCGTTTTCCAGAAATGGCGAATTGAGCGAATTATCCTTTTTCAGAACAAACAGACATTTACATGCCAGTTTTCCGGAGATTGCATTGTTGGAAAGTGTAAACACAATCATTAGTGCAGTTCAATACAATTTTCATTTTTTTTTTAGCTGTCCGATGTGTATGCCGAAGTTGCCGACTCAAAAAGTGCTTCGATATGGGAATGGATCCCAAGGGTAAATTTTTTTCTTTCTCACGTCTTGTAGCGAACTGATTTCGCTTTACCTAAAACTGAAAAACAACTGGCGAAATGATGGAAATGAGCAATGTTTCCAGCTATCCAACATGATCGTGACAAAATACGATACACGAAAGCGCTTAAAAAGAAGCGCGACGAGGAGAAAAGAATGAAAGAAGTCACCATCAAAGAAGACATTGGATCACCGCAGAGCGTTCTTTCTGAAAATTATATTAATACTTCTACCCCATCGTCCAGTACAATGATGAATGCTGTCGAAGAGACTACCATGTTCGATACCGAAGCTCAGGTTCGTTGTTCATTTATTGTGTTTTGCGCGCATCAATCGAAAGAGAACATTCTTGAAGTATTCATGACCTTTTTCCTTCGATTTGCGCGCTTGATAATGACTGAGTGTATGGGTTTGTGTTTGATTTTGTGAATATTCGCGCAGTTCAAACGGATCAAGTTGCAAATTAGTTCGAAATTTCGGTTTATCTGAGATTTGAAAAAAATAATATAGTTGAGAGATATGAAAATTAATGTGTCTATTTAACTGCCACAGAAATTTATGAATAATTCTGAATGATGCAATAATATTAAAAAGTGCATTAATATAATTTTTCAGAATGACATCAAAGTCACAATTGATAACTTGCAAACACTTGAAGATGTGATATTGGGGCTTCGGAATTCGTATCGCTTTGAAATCTGCAGCAAACGTCATACATTATATTCCGAGTAAGTTTAACTCTATTGTTGTGACAGCAAAAATATTCGAAAAAAAACGCTGTAGAACACAATTAAATTGTTCAGTTCAGGAAATGGCTCAACGACAATCAGTGGGTGAAAACCAATTCTGTTCTTCGAGAAGGCCCTCGAGTGTCAGTCCGATGCTCAGTTGCGGAACTACGTCAATGGTTTTTACGCGATCTCGTTCTTATGGTTGAATGGTCGAAGCAAATACCAATAATGGAGAATTTGCTGTTGAATGACAAAGTATACATATTCGTCATTAAGCACGGATTCAACTTGATGATTTCAGACGGCGCTGCTCAAAACTTTTGCACCAATGTATCCATTGATTCAACTGGCATTTTACACAAAAGAGGATGAGGATGATAGTGGAATTGTCATCAGTACGTGGCAAATCATAGAGCTTACATTTCATTTGTTCAATTGCAGAAACTGAGCCCGGCTGCTCGCCACCACCCCCCAAGCCAATAAGATTGAATTATCCTGATGGTTCCTATGTTGAAAATAAAGCTGGAAAGCCGGAAAATACTGAGTGAGTGTCGTAATCGGATTACGAATATCAAACTAAACTAGCTTAATATTTTTGTTTTGATAAAGCAACCATATGAGCTTAGATGACACAGCCATTAGCTGATAGAATGATGAAAAAAGAAAGATGATATTTCTATTAATGTGAGGGATTAATACAATGAGATCATTACGGAAAGAACGAGATGAAAGTTTCATTCGGGTATTTTAAGAGAAGAAATGATTTCAATGCTCATCGATGGCGTTTACAAAGTGATGAGGAGGTTACAATTAAGAGATTCGACGTTCGTCTTCTACAAACAAATACTTTTTCTGAATCCAGGTATTGAATACCTGAGTAGTTGCAACAGATGACGTTATTGTTGTTTCAGATGCCCATGGACTTTCTCACATTGCCAAAAAAGTCATCGAAGGAGAGCGCATGAGACTCCTAACCCAATTATACTACTATCTTGCCAATGAAAGAGGTCGTGAAGCTCCAATAATCTTCTCGAATTTATTAATGATGTCAGCTACACTGAGCGTAATAGATTTTATAAAGTTTCTTGAGATTCTATTTTATTTTTCAGCGAACTGCTTCATATGTCAAGAGAGTTTTTGAAATTCACGATATTTTTGATGAATTAAAGCTAAAGGATGACCTCATCAACCAACTAATCATTGCCCTGTAGAACAATTAGATCTCAATTTTAATAATTGTTGATTCTTTTAGAAAACATGTTCTCATACTTTTGGTTTTTTTTTCTGAGCATTTTTTATATATCAAAGCGTAATTAAGCGTCAGTTAATTTCGTTGATCTCTTAAATTACCTTTTCGTCCACCCCCATTTTCTGTTTTGTATTTGAAGCTACTCATGCTTCAATTCGTGTAGACTTCTCATATGTAATTGATTTTTCTAAGTCAAACTTTTTTTGTTTTTTTTTTGTTCTTTGTCATTATGCACATTTGGATAATACGATTATGTTTCGGGTAATATAAGTTGCATCAGTGTTAGTTTCTAAGTGGTGGAATCGTATGAAATGATTTGTTACTATATAATATTTATCGATCATTTGAAATGTCTTGCCATTTTCTTTTGTTGAAAGTTGCATCGATACTTTAGTTAATTTAATAAATTGGCATAGATTGGTTTTCAACTAAGAATATGGAACTCAGTTGGTGTTCTAGATTCAAATCTGACCCGCATTTGACAATAAAAGCATCTTGAAAATAAATCTTGACGATGGATATCTCATCTCACAGCACTATATTTTCCGGAGTTTTGTAGTTCGCCTCATAAGATGCGATCAAAGCGGTGGATGGACAAATTTTATCCGGCGATTACTATCTATATCGCAAAGTTGAGATGAATCGGATCCCGCCTACCGTCAAAAAGCCCTCTTCCTCACTTGTAGATTCTTATTCTATCGTCGACGTTTCAAACATAGTCAACAGAATGCTGCACACCCCATCACTTGTTAAAATCGTCAATAACTCGCTTCCATACAAGTCGCTGAAGGAGTCATTCTTGCCGGTTAACAATAATGCCGAGTACATGAGCTTCAAGAATGTTGTCACTGCAACAATCATGGACGAAAATGAACCGATTGCATTTGGTTCAATCATCAAGTGTAATGAGAAACAGGTAATCAATAATCAAAATCCATTCAACCTATTAAAACTGGTTGTAGGCGTATGTAATGCTTGGAGAAGTTGCGGAGAGATTCCAAAACAAATCCGTTTGGATCGAAAGTGTCGAAAGTGAAAACAAAACGGAATTGGTTTACAAGGTATTATTAAGAAAGTTTCAATCAATATCAAAATCTCTTACTATTGGAAAGAATTCCACTTTTCGTATAAAAGAGAAAGACAAAAAGCATCAGCCCGATGCGGGGCTCGAACCCGCGACAGCCAGATTAAGAGTCTGGTGCTCTACCGACTGAGCTAACCGGGCGCACGTGAAAGAGCGTTGTTACTCGTTACATAAAGTCCGCCGCCTTCGGCATGTTGTCTAACCTCTCTCATTCTCGTTGTAGATAACAAAGTGCGTCGATTTGCTTGACTACTCGGGCAGAACACTATTCGAACAAATTTTCGAAAACCGCGACGAAAAGTGAGTTTTGAAATTGAAACACAACAAATCTCAACACGTTACTTTCAGAACAGTTCATCTTCATTTGTTGGATAAACTAATTGACACCGCCGTTGGGACCGAGAAATTGGATAACGTGAAAAACATCACCGTTGATTTTGAAAGGTTTTATTGAAAATTAACGGAATAATCATCGAAAACATTATCCATATAGGGGATCAAATTGTTCATCCTGGAGAGACGTTGTTGGTTTTGTTGTCAGTGACAAGTACTTGTTCTCGAACGTTACTCTTAATAGGTATGAAAAAGAATATTGGAATTTCGGAGCCGCCAATTTTTCAGATTTGAGTTACTCGCTCTTCAAAACGAACAGTCTGAGATTGTAATCCAGAATGTTTCAAAAGAAAAACTTCATGACATCTTCGATTATGATTCAACTGTTTCGCTATTTGACCGAGAGGGATACTTGGAAAATTTGCTGAATACTTCCGGAGTACAAATACAACAAGCTTATTCATTTAAACTTAAATTTTTTTTCAGGTATTTGTAAAAATTGCGAAGTCAAATGAGATTGTTTCGGGAATGGTTGTTTTCACAAAAAATAGCATTCTGATGTGTTACGGAGATAACGACGAAGTTCAAAAGTACATTTCATACGAAGAAACAATACTTAAAATTTATTTCTAGAGCTCTTCTTGCTGCATCTGGCTCTGAAATGCAATCGGGAAAGGTGTCAATGTTCATAAGAAACGATTCCAACAATCTTGCTAATGAATTGTTGGAGGTATTTGTAATATTCGCCAGATGATTTTAAGAGGCATTTAAACTTACAGAGAGCTCTGGAAACTGTTCCAATTACTCGGTTGAATACAAGAATTGTCGTCAACACTATCAAATGGAACAAAATCGCTTGTTTGAACATGGGCCTTCATTTGTATTGATCAATTATAATGTCTCTTCATCAAAAATTGTAAATAATTTTGATAAGATGTTGATATTATATTCATTTTTGATTTTTGAAGATAAATAAACTATTTAAGCAATTTCATTTATTACGTTAATTTCCATATTTGATTAAACTGAGACATTATATAAAACGGAAACCGGGTAAAAACATATAAATAAAAATTGGAAAATATTTCTTTTAACGCTATTTGATGACATACTAATGCGAAGAAAAAACGTCAGTTTGTAAAATAATTGGATTAAAAAAATCAAACACAAAACACCCCTAAGGCAGTATTTGAGCGATAAAATAGCGTGTACTATTATAGCGAAAGAGCAATGTATTGTACAAGACGTGTGGAAAATTAAAACTATGGTTGGTCGGACATTTCGGGATTGAAGAAAGAACGAATTTTATGAAAAATCGTTGTTAATTTGGGTTTACAAAAACATTTATAAATCAGTTTTGAATAACTGAGTATAAAAATCGTGAAGGAAATCAATAGAAGATTAAGAAATGCGCGAAGATAGACGAGAATAGTAAGAAAGGTGACCAAAAATAAGAGCTATCAGCTGTTCCACGGGATTCCCATCCGTCGCTGAGCATATTTTCAACGTTGGCCCAGGTTCCGTTGTGTGGGTGTGCTGGCTCAATGCTGAGAATGTTGAGGAGCATTTGGTAAATGTCAACCATTTCGATTTGTCCGAATCTTTCGTTCTCACGGAAAGCTGAAATGTCTAAATGATAAATTGATGATTTATGTGATTACCCGGCCCTCTAGCAACAAAAATTCCTTTCATCTCCTCCACAGTTGGTTCCCAACCCGAAGCCTGTTTAGCATCAATCGATGGATCTCCATTAGGCGGGACCGTCGGGAGCTCTTTCTTCAAATACACAAATCTTAACCATTAAAAACATTGATTGATGTTACCGTCACAACACTAGTCCCTGGTTTGGTGATCAAAACAACTCCGCTCATGAATCTCGAATTCTTGAAATGCAGCTCATCAGGAAGTTCCGACATCTGAATAGTCAAACTTCATAATTAGACTAATAAAAAAACATGCTCTATAGGTCTTCACGAATGGAGTGTCATTTTCATCGTAATCTCCCATTGGGGACCATACTTCGCACACACTGAATTCGTAGTGGACCTGAATATTGCATTATAATGGAAAAATATCATATTGAAAATTCCCTACAGTTCCTTCATCTTCGGGATTGGTGAAGACCATGATCATACTGTGAGCATTTACAACCTTTTTCACCTACAATTTCGAAATATGGTATACATATGTGGATTTATTTTTAAAAAATTGGTACCAGAGAAAAGTCGGGAAGACATTGTTCCATGAAGAATTGCTCTTCCTTCTGCAATGGCTTGAATCCGTGATCCGACATTACAACCAAATTCGTCGATGTAAACAACCCACGATCCTCTAACAATTGCTGCAAACAAGCGAAAATTTGCGAATGTACGTTAATAGAGAGTTAGACAAGCAGAGTGAAGTGTCCCTAGCATATCCATCCGAACAGACAAAGAGTGTTGCAAGCATCGGTGGTTCAGTGGTAGAATGCTCGCCTGCCACGCGGGCGGCCCGGGTTCGATTCCCGGTCGATGCAATTCTTTTTGTCAATTCGATTACCTGCAGCTCATTGATGTAGAGGTCAAAACGAGCGACAGCTTGCTCGACTTCATCGGAATCCTCTCCATTTTCGCGCTGAGCCACAGCAATATTCGCATAGCGAATTAAAAAGAGCTGAAAAATTTTACTTAATGAAGATTTTTTTGGATGATTTACCTGCTGTTTGTACATTTGGTACTTAGTAATTCTATTAGCAATTTGAGGAAAGATATCACGAAAATTATCAGTCTGATGAGGATCATCAAGGTTAGCCCAGCGTTTCTCCGGAACTTGAACAACCATATCGTAATAAGCTCGCTAAAATTAAATAAATTTTTCTCAAAAGATGAAGGAAAATGTATTACATGGCAATGGGCAAACCAATAGCAGCTCACGTCAACTCCAGCTTTTCCAGCTGTGTACCAAAATGGCGCCTTGGCGTCATCCCACCAAACGTCATCGTTGTCATTTGGACCTGAACATAATGTTAGCTTTCTTCGCATATCTATGCGAATTCGTACCAACTCCTCTTTCAAATGACTTATTGGTCTTACGATCCCACATATAATCGGCTGTGAATCCATGATTTTCAGTGTATAGTCCTAGAAAGAAATTGTTACTAAATGATATCTAGATTACAACACTGACTAATGGATTAATTAATGTTTTGATTTTGAGATATCATATTTCAAAATATGAAAAATATTGAACAATTTTAGTATTAAAATTCATGGTAGAGCATCTTAGTGATATTTCAAGTTTTTCGAATTCATAGGTTTCGCAAAAACTCGTTGAATATTGTTAAATTGCGTAATAATTACAATATTAAATCATTGCCGACGATGAAATATCATTTTTCAATGTAAAACACGACTTGGCGTCCAATTTCACGTCACGATGCAACTGTTGTGACAACACATGTGCAACGCAATATGCATATGTATCACTATTTTCAAATAAATCACAGAAAGCATGTTCCGCATTTATCTCAACGAGTGTCGTCTTTTTCTGTGCTTCGCTTGGCCCACATATCCAAGAGATTGAAAGATATAAGAAAACCTTTTGCTGACAAGTGAAGCCTATTATTTTATTGCCGCGAAACTATTAAAAGTCGCAAAAAATTTTTGATGGGCTCATTTTTGAAGCTTCTAGCGTAACCAACTTATCATCAGCTGCGTCTCCTTCAAACATTTCTGTTTGGTTTGTTTATCCAATCAGCTTTGATATTCGAAATTTTTAATTAAACTGCGTTATTGGCGGAACGAATAAAAAGTTAGAGCTACACAGGCGAAAGAGTGAGAAGAAGCTGGGATAAGCTGATAATTGTTTAAATATGGAATAAATTCTCGAAGAGCTGTGAATAGTACGAAATCATCGCGTATTTTTCCGCTTCTATTAAGAAAAAAAATTATAAAAATACTATGTGTGGTTTTGATTTCTGCTGTTTCGCACGCGTACCCGTTGCCAAACTCATCCATTGCGGCCAGGTGTGTGTTGGGAAAGAAGGAACCACTGCGTCGACTTGAACTCCATTCGTTGCCAAATGCCTAATTCCTGGAATATCCATGCCTTTAAAAATCGAGAGGATTTGAAATCTACCAAAAGTTGCGTCAGGTTTGGTGTTGTTGAGAAGTGTGGCACCATATCCGTCCGCAAGAATAACAATCAAATTCTGACCTGCCGGATCGCGAGCTTCAGATAAACCCAATACTAGTCCGCAAAGGACTATGGAGAGATACATCTTAAAGTAATTATATAAGTAGACGAACATCAGAAAAAAATCAATGATGCAATAACGAAGAATCACGGATATCGGTTTTGATATAAAGTCAAATGTTGTAATTTATGTTTTTTGCAGTCAAAAGCTTTTTCTTATTATTTTTTTTTTTATGACAGAACCATTACTTCAAAATTATTGTTCAGTCATTCGCTGGAAACATTTAAAACAAAAAAGACGCTACGTTCTTCTGCCTTGTTCTTTGAATTGACAAGAATTCTCAAGAGAGCCTCAAGGGTTAAGATTATTGTACAAGATTCCAAAATAGGTCGCATTTGGATTGATACGATTTTTGTGTCTTCAAAATTTGGTCAACGGATGCAATTAATCACGCACCTTCAACGAAAATTAATGTCTCGTTGGCAAATTTGAAAGAGATTTTCAAGTGCTCGTCGCTGACTGAGGAGTGTAAAAGACTATGGCACATTGGAATGAAAGTGAAGGGAAATGAAAGCGAGACAAAGAAGAAAAAGAATGAAGAAGATGAAAACAATATCAAAAAGAAGAGCAAAAAACGCAACGTGGGATTGGTAGCCGACGGAATCGGCGTATTTCACATGCTCCGCGGCATTATGCCGAAAACTAATCACTCCATCAAACGAGTCTCTGATTGATCTGAGAAACTTCGGCACTTGCATAAGCTCCGGAGAGAATTATTGAAATCAAAGGGAGAAATAGAAAAGCATCGGGAAATCAAATGAATCATTATAGGGCAATTGAATGCCTATTTATGCAAAGTATAAGACCGCCATGAAATAAAACGAACGATAATAATTGTTTGAATCATCGTAAGGAAGCGCTAAGAGTAGAAGTTCGAAAAATCGAGCCAAAAACTATTCGGCAGTAGCGACTGTTCGCTGCCCATGCTGGCAATAAAATATAGATTTTATTTGTTTTCTCATAACATAAAATATAATTGGATTTTGTACGGTGCGTAGACAACGATTTTTGTGCAAATTCTTTACGATCTGACGAAAAATATCACATCGCTTGAAAAAAAAAAACATTTGAAAGAGGTGATTTGATCCAATCAGACAGAGTTGTCAAACCGCCGGATGCGGCTGTTTCGTCGTCAACACTTGATTATAAAAAAACACCGGAGCTTCTCGTTCAAGAAAAAACGAGATGTTTATATACAAATCCAAAAAAAAAAATTTGAGAAAAATTTGAAATGAATTCTATATATATATATATCACTGTTTGGGGTTTTGCATTGAAACTGTCAAGACAAATAAGTTTATTTATTAAACTGCCAATCTGACCAATGGGAATAAAACTGTTTGGAACATCTGGTATAGAATACAAATTGATGGTTAACTACCTGCGTTTCAATTCGATTTTAAGCATTCAATGGATATGAGAAGTTTTGTTAAGAATAGATAACGAAGAAACATTTAAACCAATTGTTCGGATTTTCAACGAACGGAAATTTTCTCAAACGCATCTCTCCGAGTCATCGTTGGGTATCATCGCGTGTGTTTGAATAATGAAATTAAGATTTCGACATATGCGACATAAGCCGATAGCGATTTGGCATGCAATAAGAGTGTTGGTGTCTGTTCGGAAGACAATGAATAAAACAACCTCTCGGAGCTGTGATGTTTCCGCCGGGGGATTACTACAAAACTCGCGCACAGTGGAAAATGCGTCATTAATTGAAGCGAGCGGCGGCGGTTTGTCAAAAAACCAAAGTAGCACAACCGTTTTCAATCAGAATGCGGCGTGTTGTGCCCGTGGCTGTTCGAAACGCGAATACTGCATCATTACACATAAGAACAGTTGCGCACTTGGATTGCATAGTAGAGGGGTAGAAATGAAATTGAAATTTGATGAATTTCATCAAAGTCATAATAGACGCCGTGAATGAAATGGTTAGTGTAATTTTTACGTCAATTGCGCTAATTGAAGTTTCAAAAACTTTTTTTTAACTTACAGATAATAATAGAATTTCTTAAGCTATTCCTGATTTATAGACGGCTTTATCAACTGGAATCTCGGGTAGACGATTTTCGCTCAGTACAGATGTATGAGTTCGTAGTTGTTTTTTTTAAGTGCTCCAGTTAACATTTTCTCTCTCTCGATTTATCGCTTTGAGATTGACGTAGGTTCTATCTGTTTCTCTTCACTATTTTCTTACAAAATAGATAACTTGAAAGTAAAAAATGCAAAAACTTGGTGTTTTCATCTGAAAGCTACACAAGGAACCACATAAATAAGCGAATAATTTTTCTAAAAAAATGTAACCGACGACTTTCAAAAGGTTAGTGAGCCGTATCAAATAGGAAACGGGAATTCATCAAGAATAAATGATCCGGATCCAATTCAGGCAACGAGACGGTTGACTTAATTGAACATAAAGAAAAATCGGCGTTGCCTTATTTATGAACCCGCCGGTTGTGTAAAAAAAATTGGTACATAATTAATTTGATGGTTGGTCGTCCTGTCAGTTTCGCGTCGGGTCAGATATAGAGTTCAAAAGCTGTAGTGTTCTTTAGTGTTTTTTTTTCTTTCCGGAATAAATACAAAAACTTTAGAACAAACTTCTGGACAGAATAAGGGCGCATATATCTGAAGAAGCAAACGTCTAGGTCTAAATGACCGTGGCACGAAACAGCTGACAAGCTACTTAGACTCATTCAGCAAATCCCGCTGTTTCTCATGAAAAATGAGTTAGCCTTGGTCGATGATTATAAAAAAAAAGATGCATAACATATGTTTTCGAGAGTTTTCTGAAAATTTTCAATGAAACTCAACTTTATAGGTTATTACAAAGTGAAGCACAAACAAGTTGAATGCTCAATAAAATTTTTAATTAAGGAATTACATGAAAGAAAGACGGTTAAAAGCGGGAAAATTGATCATTAACTTGAATTAATAGACGACAAATGAAGTTGTTAAAAAAATCAATTTGAATATTAAACGACCTAACATTGAAACTATGAGCTCTTAGCGGATTCTGAAACAAGCAGAAACTCGATTACTCTCTGTACGACTCATATTGTTTCGTTTGATTTTGTTCGAATCTGCAAAAAGTAACTTAATTCAACAACATTGACACAATTCACAAAGCAGTAAAAGAAAAAGAAAAAGAAATGCATAGAAGAACTTCTTTTGTTGCCAACCGACGCATGCCAGGGTAATAAAGAAGTGTGGCGCGATTTTCTTGACCTTATTTATACGTGTATTTTATAGTGAATACATCAATTTGCGATAATATATTTATTTCTCCCAATAAGTATGCTATTAATCATAAAAGCGTTGAATACAAATAAAATAGTTGGCGCCAGTCATACAGAAAATTGGGTTACCAAGAAGAACATGTTTAAACATTGGTATTTCCTAGCAAAGATTCTAGAAAGCATAATTATTATATTTGGTCTTGAGATCGGTTGCATGCGATTGGCGAAAAATAAATTAACTGCGGATTACTATACTACTTTTGTTTAAAAAAAAAAGCAAATCGACTAATTAAATGCGAAACGTGCCTAATATATTAGGGATCATCACATTTTGTGGTTATTTTTGTAAGATTTTGGTAAGAAATTGCAAAAATGAAAAAATGATTGTTTAGTAGGCGGTATTGATCGATCGAAGGAATTCAATGGCATCCTTGTCATCTTTTCGGCTGTTCAAAACATCGAGAATGTCTTTAGCTGAAAAAAATCCAAATACCAGAAAATATTTCTTAATGCTTACTGTTAGAGACTGGTTGTATGAGAATTAAGTTGAATTGGCGCAGCGTGTTGCCTCCAGTGATTCCGAATCCGGGAACCTATGAAACATTTATTAATCATACGCTTATTTTTAAAATATACATCAACGAGCTCCAGGAAAGCTTCTCCTGCAAAGTCATTCGAGCGAAGATAGTCATGATCCATAACTGTGAAATGAAGCATTGCAGTCGGTGGCGGATTTGGAGGAATTTGGCTGAAAATGTCATTCACAATGTGATAAAAAAAAAAAGTGATGCTTACAATTCGAATGTCTCGTCAAATATTGGGTTAAGGCTCTTTGAAACAACCTTGGTTTTTACAACTGGAACATTTGGGTAGCGGAACTTTGGGATCAATTCAATCACCACAAATGGATCAGAGAGACCATTTGAGTCAAGAGCGATAATCTGCTTGGCACCGATCACTACAAATTGCTTTATACTTTTCCTTATTGATCCACATCCACGCAGATTTTGGAAAATATCTCGAATAAAAAAATTGAAATATTTCGAAATCATATGCAAATTGCAAAAAAAACTTTTAAACTACTTTAAATTAGTTTTTTTTTTAAATTAGTTTTTCCTCAAAATCTGCATAGCGTATTTATGTTCGAAATGATTTACCATCCAACACCAAGTTCTGTGCATTAGCGTTATAATACGCACGGACATTGAGAATTCCATACTTGCATTCGCTAACCTCGTTCTGAAATAATATTGATTTCCCGAATCAATTTTCATTCTTTTATTCTACTCTAATCTGAAACTATAATTAAAGCATAATGATTGGTGAACATGCATCGGCCTTCAGAAAACTGCATTAGAAGCTAAAAAGGAATTTTGGACACAGTGTTATATTCGATAATTTCGAGAAGAGTTTAGTTGCATTTATTTTCCACAAAAGCACACAAAACACGGCTAGGTGTTGGGAATTCGAGTAATGCAATTCAACGCTGAATTTCTTAAGGATTTGTTAGAACTTACTCCGAACTCGTGATCAGCAAGCGCCTAAAAAGTGTCGTGTAAGTAGGTAAACGAGAAAATAGAAAAATCATTAAAAAAAAGAAAAATTAAAGTTACATATGTATGTTAATAGAATAACAATATGTTAATGTGAATTTTGAAGTGACAAGGCTTAAGCGAGCAAAATAATTTCGAATTTCGAGCAGTGCAGTGAAATGCGTACAGTGAAAAAGCTTAGAACAAAATGAAAAATATAATAATTATAAAATTAAATAATACAAATAAATTTGAAAAATGAGAAGTTCTTTTAAACTAAAAACTTTTAACTATGCATGTATGTTGAAAAAAAGGAGCAATGGTCAAATAATGGTTTCTAACCTGTTGTTTCAGCAAGTCCTTGTAATATTTCTCAATAAGTTGTTCAGTCGGCGTTTGATTCATCGAAAGAATTTTAACAAGTTTCTTAATTTATAAATCAACAAAATTAGACATCAGTAATATTTTATATACCACATGCTCCGGATTTGTTTCCAAAGCTTCCATCGACAATCCTTTTCCTCCTGCATGGAAAAAGTCCACAAGAACGTGCCATGATTCAAACAAACGATGATAGAACGGCGGTTCCATCTGAAATGAAAAATACGAAATTTTCAATTAGCAATTTTATGTTACCCCGGGATTCTCGTCAACACACTCACGAAGAAGATTGACAACTGTGGCCACCTGCGAAGACATAATTCTCAAGAAATTTTTGTGGAGCAAATTCTTATGAACCGCGGAAAGTTCAATATCCAACTAAAATTTTGAAATTATACCAATTTTCAAACAGTTCTAACCATATCGGTCAAAGGTTTCAGCGAATCTTCAACTGGGTGGGCAGCTGGACTCCACGCCAAGTGGAAAACATGCTTCTTCATTTGTGGAAGGAGTCTTCTAGTCAAAAGGCCAATTATGCGATCAATTTCTTGGCAGATTTTTGCGTCACATTGCTCAAGGCGGCTTTCAATTTCAGCTTTCCACATTGGAGAACCCTATAATTGTTAATTCTTATTCTATTTAAAATATCAAAAATACCGTGGTTATTCCTTCTCTTTCATAAGCTAAGCCAAGATCATCTAGATGCAATTTTTCGTGAATCATTAAACTGCGACGAACTTGCTCGCAATTATTTATAGCAGCACAAAGCTGAATGATTGTCTAGTTATAAAATTGCCGCCATTTCAATTTTACCATTTGCAAAAGTTGGGAAGGAATGAATATTTGGATCTCCGCGGTGAATCCTTCACTTTCAAGATTCGAAATAATCTTTTGAGTGTAAACAGTGACAATTTCACAAAGGGTGTCAACTAATTGTTTAGTGAATTCGATTTTAAGAGATGTGTCAATTATGTCAATTCTCTCCCAAAAGACGGTCATCTGAAATATTTCTTACGACATTTATCTTATTTATTATTGTTGTACTTGTTCCACAATGTGGCAAACATCAATATGGCTGCTCGAGTGTCTCATGTCATTAGACGACGTTGAAATCAAAAATTCAAATAATTTAAATGTGCATCAAAATTATCACTCACCGGCATATCCAATTGGCAACTTAAATGAACACGTGCCAAAGCGCGTTCACGTGCAACTTCCAAGAACTTCTTGGTTGCTTTATTGAAAATAACATACCATTCAGTTTCATCTTTGACACGACTGCAAAAAATGTATATTATCTTATTCGGTAAGAGTAGTAATTACACTCTATTTGCCAATCTATAGTTTCTGAGCTCTACAAATGCCATATGAATACGAACAAGATCAATTAGATCATCCTCATTTGGTGGTTCCTGATTTGCAGAGACTCTCATCTGCGATTTCAAATCCATCTTGCGTTCGCTCATCATTTCAGATGTTAGATATTCAGTCAGCTGTAAATAACCACTTTCTTTTTTTTTTTTTAACATTTATACTCATCATACAATTCTGTCAAAAGTGCTCAATGTAAGTTGCGAATAGTCAATTCTAGCAACTTCCCGAATAATTGCAGCGTAATGAAGAAATCGGGCACATTGAGAGTTAATGATGTTCAAAAGCCGCAAAAGCTCTTTGCATGGATCTTCGTCTTGAACTTCTTCAATAGTACGGTCGATAAAATCTTCAGCGCTTTTCTAAATACAAATATTCGAATGTTTTGAACTGCATTTCAACACACATACCACAACAAGCGACTCGATATGAGCATGAAACGGACGCTTGTAAGGAAGGTACTTTTGATAGAACGGTGAGTCACGTAGTGCTTTCATGCATCTAAAATAGATAAAATTCATTTTCTCAATGAAAAAACTAATAAAAAATAGAAAATTAGTTTATTTTCAAATTAAAAATAGTCAAAATCCCATTAAAAAACCATTAATGGCCCAATTAACAGAGTATAAAAGACAAAATTCCTCCCGAGATTTTCATTATTTTTTCACGCTTCGTAACATCACCCTATATTCATTTTTTTCAGATGTTTCGCTTGCTTTCATTCTTCTACTTGGTTGCCGTTGCAATGGCGTTAAGCACCTACAACCACTTCTCGTTTAATATATCACTTGTCTGTCGTCATAAGATTTCGTACAACTTCTTTGTTTCATACTTGGTGCGTATGAACAACGGAAAAAATTTACTCGAAGACAACGAGATTGCTGTGAGTGCCGGAGTTGCTTACCCAGGAACCACCGAATTGTTTGCTCGTGGGGTCATGGAAAACACTTACGCGCAATCACAGTTATGGGAGGCTACTTTGAAAATCTCACACGCCTGCCTCAATTCAAGACTTGGTGGATCTCAAGTTTTGAACGTCATATTTCCAACAACTCCAATCAACGACGGCAAACAAATTTGCAACTATCAAGCTCTCATCGATATCACCGATCAATCTGGCGACATTGATCATCCAGCCAAAATAAATTGTGGCATGAATGGTTAAAAATTTCAATAAATAAATTTCAATAAGCTTACTTGATTAGACTCGCAAATTCTTCCCCGCTATTTCCCTTATTGGTGGCAAACTTCTCGCGGTGGTCGATCATCACGCGTTTGCAATACGTGTCAAATGACGAGAACGAGTCAGTTAACATGTCTTCTTCTTCCTGTTGTTTTGCAAATTGTTATTTGATACATGTCTTGTCGATCAACCTTATCCAATGTAAGAGGTTGCCATTTCTCAATTACATTTTGCAAAGTTCTCGCCAATAAAGAAAACGAAATATCAATTGGAATCATGCTGTGAAATGCAAGCCATCGACTGAAACTGCCTTGCTTGTTTGTCTAACAGTTTTCTTACCACATGGCGGTATGAACATCGGTAAGATCTCCTTGAATGGCATGTTGGCGCAAAATAAGCATTGCCCTTTCAGGGTAAACTCCGTCCCAAAAACGGACCGGTTGTCCGGATTGACGAATTTCGTACAACGCGAATTGACGGAGCAATTCGATGTGCTCCTTAACGTCAAGTAATTCATCTTCCTCGCCGGCTCGACATTCCTCTTTTGTGGAAAGCCACAACTAAACCGTGAATAATTTGCAATTTTAACTTGACAGTTTAAAAATTACTTTCAATTTAACTTGTCCGCTGACTTTACTTTTCTCCGATCTTGGCTGGAGTGTGAAATATTGCTCAATTCCATCTGGAGGAATTTCCTGTAAATAATATACGTTTTCATTGTACGTTTTCCTAAATATTTCATACATTGAGTTTAATATTAATACACCCCAAAAAATCATCAGTACATTCATCGGAATCTGCTCTGGCGCTTTGAGTAACCTCTTTGAAATATCGTCCAAGCCCCTATAATTTTGTTTAATAGACACCAAATTGAATATGATATCACTTTTAGTCCGCCGGAAATTTGGTTGAGGGAGGTTACAGCGTCAAGAACAGATTGTTCTTCGTCATCGTGATCCCTGCAAAAGCGAAAAATATCATCTTGGCTATTATCTTGTACGACAAACCAAATATCCATGTGGAATTGATCTCGTTGCACATCTTCTACCATAAATTGAAATTTTTCATTCCATTTTGGGTTCAAAGTTTTCTTCTGCACGGAACTTGCTTTTATGATTTTTGCCGGGATCGTGCCGGTGTCAGCATTCTAAAAAGCTGTTTTGTTAAAAAAAATGTGTTGTTGGTCATATTCACCTTTCCCTTCTTTGGTCCAACCTTTCTTCTAAACGAGCCCCCAAAACGGTGCATAAGTCCATCTTTTTTATTATGCGATGGAAGCTAAAACAAAATATTCATTTGAGGAAATATAATATGATAGTGCTAAAGCGAACGAACATACTCTTGGTGATTTCACTTCTTTTTCTTGTTCTTCCTCAACTGGGTTTGCTTCAACTACTTGGGAATTCTCTCTGCGCCCTGGAACAACTCCCATCATAGCGAACGGGTCACTGAATCCTAAAAATAGATACAATTTAAATAAAAAAAAACATATCTAAAGGTGAAACTGCACCATTCACATCTTTGGCAATCAAATCTTTTGCTTCGAGAAGAAGAACATTTAAAAGAACCACAGGGGGCTGAAATAATTCTCTGTTGTTATTTTTTCTTTCGCTTAACATCAAACCTTGCTCTGTTTAGCCTTTTCCATTAAAGCTGCATGTAAATTACTATCGCCTTGAAAGGCATTCCTCACATACTTGTACAAGCTTTCTTGACTTTCCTCGGCATCACCTTGCCCCAGCTTATGAGTTATTGTGTAAAGCGCTTCAACATACAACGCCTGAAAATAGGTTTCGTGGAGAGAAAAAACACTTAGGTATTAATAAATGATGGTAAGCTTGAAAAGCAGACAAAACGCGGGTTCATGAAACATTAATACCGTCAGTTTTTGAACTGTTACACAATTACCCCTTTTTTAGAACATTTATGTTTTTCCTTTGAACGCGTAATCAGCTCTTCTGTTGTTTTCTATCGGGTGAAATTTAAGATATCTATATTTCCAAGAATATAAATAAGTGGGTGTTTTGAAATGTGACACTCAACGCAAAAAAAAGCGCCAAAAATTAAGTTGGCGAAAATTAAAAAATAAGTGAAAGCAACAGGTGAAAAAAAAAACAAGAAAACAACGTCAGCTGAAAATAATCATAGACGAGATTTTCGATTTCATGAAGATTTCAATTCCAATCAAAAATGTGGCAGAATTTGAAGTGTTACAATAAATAAAATAGATAAAATAGGAACATTTGAAATAGCATAAACGAGCTGAATATATATGGAAGTTAAAATTGCAATTTTTTCTAAATCAAAGAATTTGAGAACCTATTTTAAGCTCAAATAATCCCACTGCACTAATTAGTCATTGGATTGGAAAGAAAATGATACCGCTAAGAAGTGTCAACTCTCAAACCTCTATCTTTTTGCGATCTCCGTTGCAGCTCAAATTCTTGATGGTATACAATTCATCATCTTTCGCGGTGTCCGCATCACTTGATGCTGTAATTCTTTCGAAGAAGTTTCCATCAGAGGCTTGTACTCTGAAAAAAAGAGCAACGTTTTTTCTTCGTTTAGATAGTGGTTTCAATCAATTTACTACGTCACATATGTATCTCTTTTTTTTATTTTCAATTCCCAGCTCACTTCAGATACTATTAATGGAATGCGTCATTTGATGCAACAATGAGAACTTCCATTCTATATATTTTCGCCACAACCTCTGCATATCCGTTATCTTTTTAAGTCACCGATAGCACAAACCAAAGTATACTATTTGAGTAATTCCGAGAATCTCAAATAAAAAAAATTTGTATGTATACTTTTAAAATGCGATTATTTATTCAATTAGAGAAAGCAAACCCAAAAAAGTTATTACGTAGGTTTTCCTGTTTTCCAAATGTTCAAGAATTATATTGTTATCAAAAACAGGCATAATGTGTACAAGGAAATGTTAATATTGTTACGGTGTAGTTTTACAATGAAAATGAACGTGTTTTTTTTATAAATATCAAGTAAATGCTAATAAAGAACATGGAAACAAAAACTATATTACAGTAATACGAAATAAGGTGATATTATCGCATTAGATTTATAGTAAACTTACGGTTTTCTTCTACGACCTCTGGCGCTTTTGTTGCGTCCAGCATTCATCTAGAACAGACAGAAACGGTGTATGAATTTACGCTGTCTTGAAGTGTGCCGCAGGGTAGGCTGCGCACTCAAGCAGGCCGCGACACGCCCACCGCCGAATAACCGATGTACACGAATCGAGGCATATGTGTCTCAGTTCGAACGCCACACCAGGCGTTTAGAGCACCGCTGATAATGATAATCAAAATGTGAAAATGCGCAAGTAATTACTAACGTGCTCTGATTTCCAAGATGTAGCGACTTATAAAATTATTGTGTAATAATTTCAGACATTTTCTTCAAATGAATATTTTTTTATTGAGTTAAGCAAATGAACAACAAATATATTTGAGATATTCTCATTATAGATGAAAACGAAACGCGCAAAAACATGAAATTTGTAATCTAAGAAACAATAATTTGTATGACAAGAAAATTCATGTTATATAGCAGAATAGCCCGGATAGCTAATTTTTATTTTTTTCCAAATATCATCAAGAATTTGAAATATTAACGAACAAATCTAATAAAACAAAGAATATTTCATCAATAATTATTTTCAATTATCTTATTCACCTATGATGTTTGTTTCAGAAACAGCAGTATGCATTCATCAATTTTTAACATGTAATAAACGTCACTTATTTTCCGTTTTGTCTAATTAATTTTGTACTGAAAATTTAGACTAATTAAAGTTGCTTATGAAATTCTGCTGAAAAATCGAAAAAAAGTGGAACAAACATGATCAAGAATTTGCACTTTCCATAATATCAATTTTTAATAGTGCAAATTTTGCGTATAATAAAATTTGCAGATATTTTATTGACTCAAATATATGGGAACGTACTAATTGGAAGAAATGTCAGTAATCTTCTACTAAAAACCCTTTAAAGGGGGTTTCAATATAATTGGACACATGAAATGTTCAACAATGGAATTTGTCTACACAAAAAAAACGAGCACAACTTTAAGTGTTCATGAGAACATTGGCTCTCATCTAAAATTAACGTTTATCATAATAACTTAATTGAAGCTCAGCAAGATGGTTACGCTTCACATTTTTAGCGCTTTATGAGTGAGGGATATGGAATATATTTTAATTCAGAAAATATATTGAAATTGGAGTAAATAATTTAACAACTTTAGCTCATGTCAGCATGTTTTCAATTTCTTGATTACATATTAAGTACAAAAAAAAACAAACTTATTGGCTCCATGATCAAGTAGCAATTTCATCGAGAAATAGGAAATCTGTTTGAGAAATCCAATAAAATAATAACTGGCGTACATATGATTTTGCTTATGATTTTGTGAAAACTCTGACCAGATATTTTTCTAATATATTTTATGCGAATGCAATCAAAACATGTGCTAATTTGTTATCCAAAATCAATTTTCTATTTTCTTTGTTCTTAGTCAGAAATTATTTTTGTAGTATATTTAAATTGGTCGGTTTAAGTTATCGAATTTTAAGCTTTTTTCGAACTTTCACAGAACACAAGTATTTTATTGAATTGGATACTTTCGAAATGAAATTACTGGGTAATGCTACGCAGGTCTTTTATTTTGAAATTCGTGAGGAACTCTCTTTTTATTTAACAATTCAACATCTTTTGCTAAAAATAATTTCAAAAGGAGGATATTTCGGAATTTATAGCTTATTTAAATATATCATTCACAATATGAGCGTTCGAAAAATAGGTATTCCGAAAGAAAATGTTATGTACCAGTTTTGAAACTCACTGCTCGTAAATATCTCTTGGATCCTGTTGGGAAATCGACAATTCTCGAATAAACTGGTGTGCGCGGTTCAATTGCCTTCCAGCCCATGCTTGTGCATTTCGCACTTTTTCCACGTGTCCGGCCACAAATTTCTGTCCGACGGCAAATTTTTGCCCGACATCGGCCGACATTTATTTTGTGGGCCCGTCGAAATACGAAACCTATGCTAGTAGTTCCATTATTTTCATATACATATGGGCGCGCATGAAGAAGAAAAAAAAGAGAAAAAGGAATTGACTAACAAGTATAATGAGAATTTTCTCAAACCAAAACCATCAATTATGTGTGGTATTTCAAGAAACGAGGAGAAATAGTAAAATCATGACTTGTGTATGGAACAAAAAAAACTAGTAAAGGAACAAAAATCGTTATATTTTTTAATGAAAAACTTTTAAAACATGCATTGTGAAAATTAAATTATTTTTTCATTCAAAAAAAATTGCAGGAAGATGTTCAAATTGTTGCCAATTTAATTATAATTTCGTTTTTATTTATGTACAATTCACCAATAAGTATTAATATTTTGAAATCGAAAATATTTTTTATTTATATAAAAAATAATGAAGAAATTTTTAAGAAGATAGAACAAACAGTTAAAAATTTCGTGTATTTTTTCTTGAAAAAAAAAAGACTTAGAAACTCATTTTTTTGTTAAAAAACCGACTTGAAAAAAAAAGAGATATTTGATGTTTTGAAGAATAGGAAGAAACATACACACACTCACGCAAAAAATACACATCCCACTGGGACTGCAGAAAAAGGAAAAGAAACAGAAACAAAAAAGGAAGGGTGAACAGAAAAAACATATCAGAGCAAGATTTCCGACCCGATTCCGAGTCTCGGTCATGAAAATAGGAATATTAGAATGAGAAAACGTAATAAAAAATGAAAGGCTCTCGAGTCGCAATTCAGACGTTATTAATTCACTATTGTTTTCGGTCGACTTTCAGTTTATTTCCAGCTATGAATCTAACTTCTCTCGTTCATTTTTGTCAAAGGAATTTGAGTGGAAAAATTGAAAAAAGGATAGCTTCACACAACACGGCTTTAATTTGTTATTGCGTGCATGCTTTTTCGAGTTCCAAGCGTTTTCTGCGTCCAAGAATTGCGATCTTCTTGTGTCCACGTTTGTGCTCTTTTTTGCCTCATGTTGTCGCATCGCCGTATACGACAATGTTTGAAGCACATTGCAATTGTGAATGTTTAAAAGACATTTGTGAGCATCTCAAAAGCGATAGATACTATTCGCAAGAAAAATTGGCTTGCTTATTTCGATGTGTCAGCATTCAATTAAATATTGGAAACGGTAACGAGTCATTGCGTCTCTTGAAAAGCGCGTGAATGAAGAATGCAAATGACTAATTTGCAACCAATTACGCTTCTTTTAAATTTAGCCAATTTTTATATCCAAAGTTTGTATTAAAAATTTGTTGATCAAAAATCTTCGTTATTAAATATTTTTGTGCTTCACTAAATAATTCTATTTGTACGCGAATTCTAGAAATATAATAAGCTAGCTAACATCAGAGCTATTTTAATTCTCCGTCTTCAGTATTTTTTATTAATTTGGCCTACATATTTTTGACCCGAAATGAAGTCGCTCATAAGGTTGTTTATGAAGGTAAGAAATTTCGACAACAAAAAAATGACCGATGAATGACAAAAAATGATTCGAACTAAACTTCAGAAAGCTGTTATTGCTGTTGTCAATAAATATATGTATAAGTGTGTGTTTCGAAATTTTTCAGTCAATGAATTTAAACAGCAACAAAACGCTTAAAAGAAAATTTAAGAAATTAAAAAAAAATAAACAACTCACGGGGGAAAAGTTTTGAAAAGTTTCAAATTGTTCAATTTATGGACAAAAATTTTAAACAAATCTTGAAAAAAAAGATTAAAGTTAATGAATGTTGCAATAGCTAACAATAATTTTCAAAATCCGAATATTCCAAAAAGCATAATAGTGAAATGAAGCATCCGAACATTACCAGCAACATTGAAACCGATTATTTTCCAAAGTGAAAGCCCATTCGTAAAATGTCAAATGAATATTTGAAAAGTGCACAATTTTGGAATAAATGAGTCCATGGATTATGAAATATGTTGGATATTGAATGCATGGAAAGAAAAGAAAAGATAATCTGCACACGAGTGTGTTTGGCTTTACGGAAAAATAACGAACCGCGCAATAAGGAATTTATTCATATTCATATGCAAGCGTATACGGGAAGGATGAAATAATGAGCAACGTGTCGGATTATTTTTGGGCACTTTTATTCTTGTCTTCAAGTGCTTATAATTCGGAAATATAGAATTCGAATTGAATTTTCTATTTTTTTTTTCTTCTCTTTTTCACAGACTTGTTTTTTAAGCCAACCGATTTTCTCAATTATATAAATAATGCGTTGGTAAACGAAAGAATTGACGCCGCTTAGAAGAACGACAATGGATTTCATGGAAACCATGTGCAATTGAAATAAGCACTTTGTCAGGTTTCTAAGCAATTAGATTTTCATGTGTTTATATACGTTTCTTTATGCATTACTACATAGCATTCTCAAATGAAAACACTAAACGTTCGGCTTTCACACACGACTATCAATCACGAAATAACGACAGGGTGCTTCAAAATGAGATATGTGCGCTGGCTGTGGGTCAAGATCTTTAATTACTAGTGTGCATGCTATGCTGTCGTACTGAATAAGACACAGCTAGAGGCAAATTTGTTTATTTATTTCGACTGGATCCTTTTTTTGTAAATTAAAAGGGATGAGTGAAAAATATGTACACATGATCCATTCACTTTCTTAAACTGTAATATTATATGAATGAAAAAACATATATTAATAGTTTTACGGAATAAGACATTTTTTACACCTTGATGTTCTTTGAATAGAAGCGTATGCCACAAAATATTATAATATACACAATTTTGAGATGAATTCACCAGGTAAGCAAACAGTCACGAGTTCGAAGCACAAAAATGAGGGACGTTTTTTGCGCAACTTTTTCTTTTATTTTTTGACTGAACGTTAAAAAGAAAATTTGCGAAAGAACATGAATCGAATGTGTAACTAAGTAAGCAACTAAACTTTCATAAAATAAAAAAAATTGAAACAGGGGTTTCAGAAAAAAGTTGCGCATTTTACTCTCGGAAGCTGAGAATAGACGCAAGACCACGAGATTGCTCAGTAGATTAGGAACAGAAAATGTGCAACGACCACTAAATGCATATATGT